GCACTGAGGACAAGTATGTATACACCTGTATTTTAATTCAGAGGCCAATTATTACTGACCAAAATGACAGACATGTTAAAGCTTTATGGCAGAGGCCTGTGCAGTTTATGCAGCTTATCCAAAAGCTGATTTCTCACTAACTGGGGACTTGATTGAAAGCACTTCTATTATTTTTTGTCAAACTACAATGAAACTGTTCTGTTCTTTGGTCAGGTGGCATGGAAGGGACATCCTGAGTCCTTTGGGGTAAAAACGCCTTTGTGTTCCTTCACAGCATGTTTTTTGGGAGATGAAGGAAGTGGTGCTGAGACAGTGTTTAACCCAAGTTATCAGGATTTGCGGTCATTAAACAATGTGCACAACTGCCTTCTGAACTGGGCTGCTTGTCGAAGAGTTCGTGGCAAGTCCTGAATAAGTGTTCTACTGAGCAGGGAAGAATTGGGGAATGCATGGGCCACAAGAGTGCCTCCATCTTGCTTTGTAATACACTGAGGTATCAGCCTGTTGCTGGTATTTCTCACCCTGCAGCCTGTGAAATTCGTGTCATCTGTTTTGTAACACAGTCCTTGCGTTTCAGAGAACAACACATGCAGGTATCCAGTATCACATATCCAAAATAAAATTGACTGTGTATGTTCAAATTATAGCAACTGCTGGTTGGTAGTGCATGACTTAAAGGGACAGGTCTGTAGGGCACTAAAGTAAAGTAAGAATAGTTAGCCATACATGCTCCTTGCATGTATTCACAAGTTGTCACATGTCAAATCGTAATAGGCCTCATTCTAATTTAATATGCAAAGACCAAAGGATGGCCGAAGTCCTAGTGTAAGGAAGCATTCCAGTGCCAAAGATAACATGACTGTTCTTGCAGAAAACTGTTGGAATGCAAAAGTAAATGCAGATAAATATATTAGTTTTTCATTTAAACTCACAAAATTACTCCAGAATTTAAGCAGGAAAAAAGAAACGTGCGAGTTTTAGAATTTGAAAATTGGAGTTTTGACCTAGCAGGGGTTGTTCTGTTGTTATAGGCATGTCAGGTTTCTCATGCAGAAGCTGCCACTTTCGACTGTGTGCACAGAAAGGAAAATCAGTTAAACATGCCCCTGAACTGTAGGAAAAGGGGAGTTTGAATGGGAAGATATGGCTTGAATTTTTCCAGGTCTGTAAGGGCAGTCGTCTCCCTGCCTGACCTGACAGAGCTTCTGTAGCCAGATATTGTGCATCTGAGTGACTTTGTTAGTCTTCTGAATAAATTGTATGTATTTCCTGTGTTTAAAAATAACTGGTTTTAATTAATAAATTGTTTTCTTACAGTGTACTCTCAGTGCCATCTCCTACTCTGTACTCATCTCCCAGGGATGACATTTTACTGTCCCTTAAATGCATGGGAAAGCTGTTATGGAAAGGACTGCCAAAGAATCTGGGCTGGCATTGGTTCATGTCCTTTATTCAGGGGAGGATTTTTAGTTTTTCAGAGGATTTTTCTTTCCTCTTTGCTTAATTTATAAGTCCTCTTCTGAGGATGCTGGAAACCCCAGAATGTTTGACTAGGAGAAAGGCAGAGAGATTGTTGATCAACCTGAAGCATTGACAACCATTTGCTGCCCTAATGAATCCATCGTTAGAGGGATCATTAGACTACAAGAGTAGTCATTAAACAAGGATCTAGCAACACACAGGCTCTCATGGAAGCAGTCAAATCGTGCTGTTGTGATTTGTACAGAAATAGTGCTTGATCATGTTTGGTATTTTTCACTTTGTGAGTCAGGTGTTTGAGCTGTCTCTCTTATTACATAGCTTCTCTTTTTTTCTAAGAGCCTCAGACAGGTGGCCAGCATCCTCTCTGCAAAATAAAAATGCGCCGAGAATGTTGGCGTGCAAGTAAGTGTTGCTTACTAATCAGTGAGGTACTTGGAATTAAAGGGATAGTCCACATGCATGTGTACCCTGTCCTAAGTGGGAGGATTCTCATGGCACAGCCTCAGAGAATTATTTTCAGTTTTGTATGTGTGAAGGGGGTGGGAAAGGATCCCCAGTCTTGCTGAAGTGAATTCCACTAGTGTTCAATGAGACTGAGGGTGAAGAAATTGTACTGGCATGGCCATGGCAACAAAAAGCAGACTGGTGAAAGGGCCAGTTTTTCCTTGCCAAAGAAAGTGATTACCAAATGCTACAATTGCCTAAAGCAATGTAGTATGGGTCTCTTGTTGATTAATTAGATAACATCTATGGGGATTTTGAGGGTTTGCAATGTCCACTGTGCAATTTATTACTGAAGAAAGCATGCGGAAGTGCAAACTTTGACCCTTCTTATTTGCACTTATTCCTGCAATTAAATGAGAATCTTGTGTAGTTGATGAAAGATTCCACAGGAGACCAAGCTCATTAATACATGGAGCAAAACTTCTTTATGATAGCCTCCAAAGGGCTACTAACCCTTTCACCCAAAGTTGCACACACTCACTCTTGGTTAAAATTTAGGAATGATATTGTGGGGTTTTGGTTCCCAGATGCTGTGGGAAGAAGGTGAAAGTTAATTTCCTGTGTTAACAGGTAGCCAGTAATGTTATGTACAGGTGGCTTCTGGATGTGTGGTGACACTATAAAAATCATGGCAACAGGTGGCTGAAGTATTCAGGTTCAGGTTTTTCCATATGCAGAGGAGGAAGAAAAGGTATCAGCCCTTGAGAGAGGCAGAGTATGCACAGCTACTGAAGCAAATCTTCAAATATGGAGTATTGGCGTTTTGTCTAATCTGTAGATTTTTGTTTCTTGTACTTGAAAAAACCTGTTTTATTTGACTTTCTGTTATTTAAGTGGGTGTTTGTTAGAAGGCATTTTGATTGTCGGTGTGTGCATCTGATGCATAGATACCAAGGTGACAGGAGCTCCAGAAACTGATTTGAAGAGTTGCTCAAGCTATTAACTTACAAGGATGAGCAGAGCAAAAAGGACAGTACAATAAAGTAGAATATAGCAATTGAGGATTTTTAAAAGAATACATAATACTGAAACACTGTTTCCTTTCCCCTTGTTCCTGCTGTTATAAATCTTCCTTTTTTGACATGTTTAGTTATCTATGTTCCAGATGGCAGTTTTTGATGTTCAGAGTTCTTGTGAAGTTTATTTTCAAACAAAACTGAGGCAGTCCATGCAAGAAAAAACATTTTGACTTGGGTTGACAAATATTTTCTAACCTGAAACTAATATTTTTTTAAAGGTTCAGGCTGTTGAACAATGAAAACTAAAGCTGTGTCAGGTTGATTTAGAGATGGTTTTTTTTTTTTGACAGCACACTTGAAATTCACACAGCTGAGTTCTAGTCACTCCCTTAGAGAATTAAAGTTCCTATGTCACTTTTCCACCTGAAAATACAGCTTCATTTGGGAGCATTCCATGAGACCCAGGGGATCTTGATGGAGAATCTGTCACACTGTTTTCCCTGGTTTGGTTTTGTTACCAGAATTTTTGCAAGGCTTGTCCTGAGGCTGCTATTCCTCCCAGTGCTTGACCCTTGGTAGAGCTTCCTTAGCATATTAAATGCCTGGGAATCTTCCATGTAGTATGTGTCTTTCTCCTGGTCTAAAATCTGTTCTGCATGTCTAATTGTCTTTATGTGGTGTCTTTGGTTCCTGGACCTGAAACCATCCATCATCCACTGTCATTTTGGAAGCAGCGTTGCCCTCCAAGAACTCTTATCAGCTTTCACTCATGTGAACCTGAGCTAAAAAACCAATCAGCGTCCCAGTTCTGATGCCACCTGCTGCTACTGCCTTTTTAGCTATTCCTCAATCCCTCTCCTTCTCTGCCTTTTCTGTGAGCAGTCAATGGGGACAAAAAAACCCCTAGTTGTGAAAGAAGGCTGAAAGTCCAAGTTTGCTCACGCCCTCTTTCCATGGGGTGGGCTGTCTGAGCAGGAAGGTGGGACAAGGGGAAAGCCTGTCCAACTGGCTTCTATAGCAGGCTATTATCCCTTCTTACCCTTTTTCATTTGGTTGATTTGTAGCAGCAGCATATTTGGTAATATAAACCCTGTCTCTTGGGATTAAGAGTGCAGTTACGCTTGCAACAGCTGCCTGCGTATGTCTTACCCACTACAGAAAAAGAACATGCTGCTCCTCCTACTTTCTCCTGATTTTATCTAGTATTGTTGCTTCCCACCCTCTCTTTGTTTCTTTTTCTGACCTCCTCACAGCTCCACGCCGCTCCACTCCATACTTGCATCGTCTCTTGAGAAGACCACAGCTGAGTTTCCTAGCACAGCACCAGGAGACTTGGGGGGGGGGGGGGGGGGGGGGGGGGGGGGGGGGGGGGGGGGGCCTTGTTGGTTTAGCAAAGG